ATATAATTAGATCTGCTCTTCATAGACAAACTTGGGATTTTAGATCTCAGATAAGATCGATTCAGGATCCCGGGATCCTTTTTTATCAGATAGGGAGAGCTGTTTCACAAAATCTTGCTCTATCGATCCTATATCTATCTATATGAAGAAGAAATCACGTGCAGAGGGGGATTCTTATTTTTACAAATGGTACTTCCAACTTGGAACAAGCATGAAGAAATTAACCCTACTTCATTATCTTTTGAGTTGTTCTGCTGGATCGGTCGCTCAAGATCTTTGGTCTCTACCCGGACCTAATGAAACAAATGATGTGATCACTTCTTATAGACTCCTTGAGAATGATTCTGATCTAGTTCATGGGCTATTAGAAATAGAAGGTGCTCTGCTGGAACCCTCACAGACAGGAAGTCAGTTTGATAATGATGGCGTGACATTGCTTCTTCGGTCCGAACCAAGAAATCCATTAAATATGATTCAAAATGGGTCTTCTTCTATCGTCGATCAGAGATTTCTCTATGAAAAATATGAATCGGGGTTCGAAGAAGGGGAGGAGTCTTCGACCCGCAACCGCTAGAGGAGGATTTATTCAATCACATACTTTGGGCTCCGAGACTGTGGCGCCCTTGGGGCTTTCTCTTTGACGAAGGGTCCAATGAATTGAGATTTCCCTATTGGGAAGGGTCATTTCAGGACAAACCGATCCTTGATGATTATGATGAAGAGGGTAAGCTTCAAGAGAATGATAATGATTCACAGTTCTTACAAGATGGAATAATGCAGGACCAATTCATTTGGGACCCCGCAGATCCACTATTTTTGCTATTCCAAGAGGATCCTTTTGGATATGTATTTTCACATCAAGAATTTTCTCCAGATGAAGAGATGTCAAGGATACTTTTAACTTCCCAAACCCAAAGAATTGATTAGAAATATCTAAATAAACCCTGGTTTAGGAAGAATATGCAAGAACAAAATTTCAAATTGTTAATTGATCTCCAAAGATGGTTTAGAACCAATAGTTCAGTATCAAATGAATTTTTTCGTTCTAATACTCTATACGAGAGTTATCAATATTTATAAAATCTGTTCCTACCTAACGGAACCCTATTGGCTCAACTCACAAAGACATTGTTGAGAAAAAAATGGCTTTTCCCAAACGAGATGGTTGTGACTATCTGTTCCAATAACGAACGATTGGTTTAACTGAATAATGAAATAAAATAGATACTTTCTTTCTTGTCGTCTCAAGTCGATATTAGGGGATCTTCTCAATTGAAAGATCCCCTAATATTGATAATCCATATTGCCGTTGACTGAGCCTACTTGTTTTGAAGCAAATAAAGAGATCCACAGGGTAATTTATCCTATTCAGATATTCACGACCAATAAGTACATAATTTTCTTTCTTTTCGGATAGGTCTTGTTCTGAAAGGAGAAAGAAGGTTGACATAGGCGGCTATTTTGGAATTCACTCGACCCGAGCGTACAGTACACATTTTTTTGAATGTCGAGTGCCAAAGTCATTGAATGGGTAAGTCACCAATCTCCAAAATCAAATATATAATGTACTTTATCCGTTGGTTTAGGGTAGGGGGATTGCAGGTGGGACGATTTCAAAATGTACTCTCCATTCATTAGATAGATAAGATAACCAAAAATTCGTGATCTGCTGGCGAACTTATTCCAATTCAATTTCAATAAGAGATCTCAATATTTTGCCTTGAAGAGGACTCGAACCTCCACGTTGTTTAGCACAAGATTTTGAGTCTCGCGTGTCTACCATTTCACCACAAAGGCATCCTTAAAGTGAATCATATTCTCTGAATATGATATCTATCTTATGGAATATATTAGAAATTACAAAAGTAGATTTTTAAGTATTTTTATTGATCCTGATGTGATATAGGCCTGAGTCGGCCATACAATTGGTTCGATTTGAATTAGTCGAAAGCATGGATATCTTATTCTATCAAAACAAAATAAAGATACAATCAAACCTATTTCTCGATTCAATAGAAGCTAAAAGGAGTGAACAGGGGTGATCTAAGGTCACAAATAATGATATATATGTAAAAAACAGACCCCTACCTAATTCCCCAAATGGAATGAACTTATAATCCTGGAATCAATTCGATCATCAGATTATAGATTATAAGTTCATAACCTCAGCCCATTCCCATTTTGGGGTGGAACAGATCTACTAATTATTTCATTTCAGTTAGTAAGATAAGAGGTCAACTAAGAAACAAATTGTAGAAGCTAAAGCTAAAAAAGGGTATCCTGAGCAATTTCAATAATAGGGTTCATTGATATTCCTAGTATAGTAGATGCTATCACACATATAATCATACTAAATTCAATCGAATTGTTTGATCTTACAGGAGACCTTCTATAATTTTGCACGTGAGGAGTTATTTCTTGGTTTCGTCCAGTCATTAATAACTTAATTATTTTTAGATAATAGTAGATAGAAACAACACTTGTAAAAAGTCCTATTGAAACTAAGAAATATAGGCCTGCTTACCATCCACACCAGAATAAATAAAGTTTTCCGAAAAAACCTGCTAGTGGAGGAAGACCTCCTAAGGATAAGAGACATAGGGCTAAAGAGAGAGCCAAAAAAGGATCTTTCGTGTATAATCCTGCATAATCTCGAATGTTATCAGTTCCGGTACGTAGACCAAATAACACAATGCAATCAAAAGTTCCTATATTCATGGAGATATAGAACAACATATAAGTTATCATGCTTGCATATCCACCATTTGAGTCTCCAACAATTATTCCAATAATTACATATCTGATTTGACCTATGGACGAATAGGCAAGCATAGATTTCATGCTTGTTTGGGTAATAGCAATGAGATTCCCTAATATCATGCTAAGAATAGCTAGGATTTCTGGAAGAAGATGCCATTCGTTTGATGAGAAATAAAAAGGAATATCCAAAATTCTAGTGGCTGAAGCTGAAGTAGCTACTTTTGAAGTAACAGAAAGAAAAGCAACGACTGGAGTGGGAGAGTCAGAGTCGAAAAGAGGATTCCTCACTTCTTTCTCTCATTCAAAACCGTGCTTGAGACTTTCATCTCGCACGGCTACTAAGTGATAAAAGAAATAAGAAGATTGTTTCTTCTTTCTTTTTCTTTTAGTATTTCCTTCCTCGCGTACTTATAAGACCGAATCCATTCGATTTTGACTTTTCAAAAGGATTAGTAATCCTGAACTTTTCGAGGAATCCTTCATCAATGGTTGTGAATGACAGATTTTTCTCAATCTTTATGACTTGCTCCTACGGAACCTAGGTTGAAAAGATTAAAAAATAGAACCATCTGATTTGATTCATTCTCAATAGCCACGAGATGATCATCTTAGGTGACCCCTTTGTTGACAGATGCTCCTATTATACTTGTAGTCTCTGAAGGATGAGAACCAACTATGTAGCATCTACATCGAAAATTCAAGTATTGTATACGTCATTAGTATGATCCTTTGTAGGAACTACCCCTAATAGCCAACTTGCAAAAAGAATTTGTTTATCATGTTTATTATAAAGGGATTCATTGTTCCTGACTCTGCTTCACCTTAATTGTTATTTTGACAAGTAAAGTTATGTCTTGGTCCGAGTGGGAATAGCATATCTCTTCTGCATGTCCATAGAGTTTTGAAAATCCAAAATCTCAGAAATAGATAGAGAGGTCGTTCGAAATTTCTCGAATGAACCACACTCCTTCATATACGTCAGGAGTCCATTGATAAGAAGGGGCTGCGGAAAGCTTGAACCCAATTCCTACAGTGATGCATATAAGCGCAATTAAAATTCCTGGAGAGTTATACATTTGTGTATTGATAAGACTTCTTGAAGCTCTATCTTTCCCCCGGATGAACCATATAGCCAAGAGAAACCATGAAACAGAATAGAAGAGCTTTCCCCACCCATGAGTAAATATTTCATAGTAGCCTCATTAGACTGTACATCTTTCTTGGCATAAACTGAAACATTCTAGAGCTACAAAGATAGTTATTAGATTGTTAGCGCTGCATAAAAACATTCCTCCTAGAGTAGCGGTTAATATGAATAACAGAAACTCTGTTATAGCATATACATTTGTTGAAATTGTTTGTTTGGAAATTTCCCGAAAAACTAATCATGGGTTCTTCTCTCCATTGGAACAACAGCGCCGTTATGCTCATTACTAAAATTGTTGAAGAGATAAAATAGCACCAATATATCTCTTTGTGATCCAAAGTTGAATCAATCATCAGAAGAAGAATTAGGCCCAAAATTAGGATCAATTCCGGAAAAATAAAACTTCCATCAAAAAGAAGCAAATGAAAGGCTTTCATAAAAATTCTCGTAGACTCGAGAATGATATTTTCATTCTGTACATGTCAAATCATGAATTATTAATTCCATTGAATCTCCAAAAAAATCCCAATTTATGTATGGATCCATAGGTCCATGTGTGTATATAGATCCTGTTCATGGATTAACAAAAATGTGCTAGAATTCTATTTGCCTCCGCCATTCTCTGAGTCTCTTCCTTTTTGCGTATGGCATCACCACTCCCTTTGGCAACATCCACTAATTCAGAACTTAATTTGAAAGCCATATTTCGACCTGGACGTTTTCGGGATGCCGATAATAACCAACGAATGGCAAGTACTTTTCCTTGTGTCGATCCTATTTCAATGGGAACTTGATGAGTCGATTCACTCACGCGTCTTGCTTTAACTCCTATATTGGGAGTTACCCCACGTATTTCTTGATGTAAAACGTATAGTGGATTTGTTTTTGTCTTTTGTTGAATCCTTTTCAGAGCTCGATAGATAATTAGATACGCCAATGATTTTTTCCCGTGTTTCATAATATGGTTCACCAACATGTTAACTACTCGATTATGATAAATTGGATCGAATTTTGCGATTTTTTTTCTGCAGTACCTCGTCGTGACATGAGCGTAATAATCCATTTTTTAATAACTTATAGGGGCAAAAATATTTTATTTTGGCTTTTTGGTTCCATATTTGGAACGCCCTTGTCGATGATCCTTTACTGCGGCAGCATCTAGGGTTCCTATAACAATGTGATATCTCACACCAGGTAAATCCTTAACCCTTCCCCCTCTTACTAAGACTAAAGAATGTTCTTGTAAATTATGGCCAATACCGAGTATATAAGCAATGATTTCAAATCCAGAGGTTAAGCGTACTCTATCAACTTTACGTAACACATAGTTTGGTTTTTTAGGGGTAATATTGGAAAGGTTGACAGATAAGTCATTCTTACTGCCACTCTATAGAACCGTAGATGATATTTTCACCGTATACGACTCCTCATTCAATTCTTTCAACGTAATTAGATCCTTTTCCTCATTCGATAATCTCCACTTCTTCCCCCAAATGAACGAGAACTAATTAAGTAAGTCACGTTTTTTTTTCATGTTTCAATTAAACACTTTCCATTTATTTTATTCTCAAAGGAGAAATTTATTATTTTTACTTTTACCAAACATATGTGAATGTGATTATGTTATGATCTTATAATCTGAAATTAGAAGAATAAATCTTTCTCGATTAATCCTTTTACAGCTGATTCTTCGAGAATAAAAAAAGATGCTTTTCAATCAAGTTTGAATTTGTTGTTTTGTAATCTTCTAATTCTTTTTTTACTTCTATTCCTTCGTTTCATCCTGTAAGATCTGACCCATTTTCTTATTCATCAAAAGGTAAGGTAGGTACGTAATAAAGAAGATTTCTTTATTTGATCAAAAGTACTATATGAAATATTTGGTTTTTTCTCTTTCTATATGCCTTTCTTGTAAGTATACTATTTAAATCAATATCAATAGAAAAAATTTTCTTCTGTATGAATCAATATTATTACATTCCAATTCCTTTCCAATATTTCCCAAAGAAAATACCGAATTGGATCTTAAATTGACGGGTTAGTGTGAGCTTATCCATGCGGTTATGCACTCTTTGAATAGGAATCTATTTTGTGAAAAATACTAGCTTTCATGCTTTGGTGGGTCGTTGAGATCCTTTCGATGACCTATGTTGAAAAGATATCTATCTATTATGATACGATTAATTGTGTAAAGCGTGTAGTAGCAACGGAACAAGAGAGAATATATGGAGATGGAAAAGATAGTTTCTATTATATACGATTAGATTATTATCTATTAGTTTAGTTAATGATCTCGGTTTAGCGAGTCCTTTCTTTCGTGATGAACTACCTACATTTTGTCACTGTGGGCCGAGGAGAAAAGCAACAAGAAGATTGTATCATCATATAAAGAAGTAGATCAACCTCTTTCCAATATACAACTATGTAAGAGTGTGAAAAGAAGGCCTTATTTAAGTTTCAAAAATAGTCGCGTTGATTTTTTTGACGTAGGATTAGGCAGTCTTTTTTCTCTATAGGGGAAAGGGAGGGGGTATAACTCAGCGGTAGAGTGTCACCTTGACGTGGTGGAAGTCATCGGTTCAAATCTGATTATCCCTAAACCCAATATCAATTGTTCGATTCAATATAAATTGTTCGATTTTGATGACAAGATTCAATCCAAATGGATAAGAGGCCTGGGGGTTGACAAAAGGGGGCAGAGGGCTGTATTATATTTTTGGGAAGCAACTCCGGGCGAATAGTAAGCCCATGGATACAAGTTATGTCTTCTCAGCATCAGCATCAGCAAAGAAAATAAAATTCCGAATGAGTTTTCTCTAGAAACAAGGAAGTTATAAGGAGTGCAACTAGGAATCTCATGGAGAGTTTGATCCTGGCTCAGGATGAACGCTGCCGGCATGCTTTACACATGCAAGTCGGATGGGAAGTGGTGTTTCTAGTGGCGGACGGGTGAGTAACGCGTAAGAACCTGCCCTTGGGAGGGGGACAACAGCTGAAAACGGTTGCTAATACCCTGTAGGTTGAGGACCGAAAGGAGCAATCCACCCAAGGAGGGGCTTGCATCTGATTAGATAGTTGATGAGGTAATAGCTTACCAAGGCGATGATCAGTAGCTGGTCCGAGAGGATGATCAGCCACACTGGGACTGAGACAAGGCCCAGACTCCTACAGGAGGCAACTGTGGGTAATATTCCACAATGGGCGAAAGCCTGACAGAGCAATGCCGCTTGGAGGTAGAAGGCCTATGGGTCATGAACTTTTTTTCCCAGAGAAGAAAAAATGACGGTATCCGGGAAATAAGCATCGGCTAACTCTGTGCCAGCAGCCGCGGTAAGACAGAGGATGCAAGCTTTATCCAGAATGATTGGGCGTAAAGCATCTGTAGGTGGCTTTTTAAGTTCTCTGTCAAATCCCAGGGCTCAACCCTAGACAGGCGGTGAAAACTACCAAGCTAGAGTACGGTAGGGGCAGAGGGAATTTCCGGTGGAGCGATGAAATGCATAGAGATCGGAAGGAACACCAATGGTGAAAGCACTCTGCTGGGCTGACACCGACACTAAGAGACGAAAGCTAGGGGATAAAATGGGATTAGAGACCCCAGTAGTCCTAGCCAT